ACGGGCAAAAATCTCTCAGAGGGATTTTTTTTTTTTTTAAACTGTTAATTTTGTGGTTTTTGCCTGCATAAAGACTGCAGGATCAGACCCTATGCAGAGAGAATAAGGCACTTTGGAAAGAGACAGCCATGCTCATCCTGTTATTTATTCGACTTTTTTTTTGTTGTTGCTAATAATCGAGACACGAATAGTCTCAGTTGATCAGTATTAAATCGGGGAATCTCTGTTGGCAATATTTGCCATATAGATTTTTGTTTTTTAGTTAACCTTTGTAAATTTTAAACCGATCGTGGTCTCTGTGTAAAGACAATCCTCCATATGTTTTTATAGAAATATATATATAATGAAGGATTATTCCCCTCCCTCTCCCTCTATATTTTTTTCTCCCTGACGTTGTACAGTTCCGTGACACCTATTTTAATTCTTTCTGCACTGTATAAAATTGTAATTATGTGGGTTTGTTTTTTGTTGTTTTGTTTTTTTTTTTCGCCCTGCCCTTTTGTGTACGTTTTGTCCCTAAAGAAAAAAAAAACCGAAATAAAACATGTATGTTATTTGTACATGGGCTTCACGATTGTATGAGCAGCAAATAAACGAGCATGCGGTGTAACAGGCGTAATTATATCTGAGGAGTCCGCGGAGCGCGGAGGGGCCGCGCAGCGCCCGGCTCGGCCCCGCAAACCTTCGGGCGATAATTCCCCGTCTCGGTGCAGACTCAAAAAAGGACCTTTTTGTGGCTTTTTGCGGCTTCCGCGGAGTCCCGGTTACTCATTTCCCCGCGCGGAAATATTTCAAATGAGGATATTGAAACGAAGGAGGAAAACCGGAGGTGATTTTTATTTTTATCTTTTAATTCTTCTCGTTATTAGTTCATTTTTTCCCCTCCAAGAAGAAAGCGAAAGGCGGTGTTTGACAGCTCTTTGCCCCTCACTCGGAGTCAAGGCGTGTGGCTGCAGGGATGGACCCCGCGGCTCCTTGTCTCTCCTCCTCCGTCCCAGAGGGACACGGGCATTTTCCAAGCCGCGCATCCCTGTGGAATCTCCGAGGGCTACAAGAGCGGTCGCGGCTGGGAGAGCACTAAAACTTTCCCGCGGGGTTAAAAGTTAATAAAGTTTAAGAAAATTATTAAAAATTAATAAACAGGAGTAAAAAGAAGAAAAATCAAGCAGATTAACTCCTGCACCATCTCTGTCCTGCTCTGGGGAGCGATAAAATCCCTGTCTGAAAAATAGGTATTTTCCTGCTAAATTTGGGAGTATTTGGTCTAATTGTGGATACTACAGTATCCAGGAATTTTTGTGCCTTAGTTTGTGGGCCAATATGTCTCTATCAACGCTCATACTATGGATATGAATGCATATAAAAAATAGATGCAGGCGAATTAATCTGATTACTTGGTTGTGTATTTCTGTCTTTATATAGGGACATTTAGTAACTGCACACTAATTAGCCCAGCTCCGTGTAATCAGCTTAATTAAAAGCAAAGGGTTTTTTTTGCTGGAACAACAACCAACAAATTTGAAATATTATTTTAATTAAGGCAGGCAAGAATAGCTTTATTAGAGTTGGTGGAGGCCTTTCTCACAGTGGGGTTTTTTGTTGTTGTTTTGTGGGTTTTTTTGAGAAGGGTTGTGGGGTTTCGAGGTGTTGGGGGCTTTTTGTTGTTGTTGTTGTTGTTTGGGTGGGGTTTTTTTAATCTCTTTTTAAGATACTGACAATCTGCCTGCAGTATTCCTTGGTTTTCCCTGTTTTTATACCTTTCTGGGTTGATTCTTCCCTCCATCGCTGCCCATCCCTGTTGGAGGTGAGCACAATGTTACCATCCTTTTTAAATACAAGCCAAAACCAGAGGGTTTTTTGCCCCTGAAGCAAATATCTGCACTAGGTGTGGCTGAGATAAAGGTCCAGGGTTAGGAGTTCAGTCTCTGCCAAGTGGTTCTTCTTTCCTTGAAATCTCACTGTCACTCCTAAGCTTCATTTTCATCCTTTGGATTAATACTGGACTCACTCATTGGCACATAGAGCTGATGCCAGCCTGAAAGGGGCAGAGAGGCACTTTGCAAACCTCAGGCCCAGCTCAAAGAGGTTTGATATCTGGTCCCCAACAAAGGTTGACATGATTCATTTTTCTCCCTCCCGTCGTTTTCCAAACCTGGAAAAACAGAACCACCACATACCGTGGACGCCACATATTCCTCAAGCCAGTGAGCGCAGTCTAAACAGACAGCTCTCCATCTCAGACACCCACATCACGGAGCAGAGCCTGAAACCCCACAGGCTCCTGCCCCCAGCCCTTCGTCTGCACAAGACCAGCTTGATTTTTCCCAGCGTATATTGTCCCATGGGGTGGCAAATCCCGAGCTGCTGCCACAAGCGGTGCCTTTATACAAGCTCCAGGAGCAGTTGGGCTCTGGAAGGAGGTCAGGAGGAATAAACTTGCTCAGAGAGGCTGTGGGAGCCTTGTAAGAGGAGATGAGCCACGGGCTTGCTCAGAAATGTGGTATTTGCTCCTGTAACAGCCCAGATCTGGCCGTGCTCAGCTGCTGTGGCTCAGCTCAGAGATCTGCTCCCTGCTCCTTGTCACCCACATCCCAGTCTGTAGGTGACACAACACGGTTTTCTTTGGGGTTTTGGCATTTCTACTGTAGGAAATATTTTCTCACCATGGGTGCCCCGTGCAGGCCCAGGAGTTTTCTACAGCGATGACATTTCGGAGCATGACAAGAAGCAGGGCCTGGTGTTTCCAGCTGGGTTTGATTCCAGATGTCCCCCTGGATCAGGGGACATGGGGGTCCCCAGGTGTGCTGTGCCCTGGGCCGTGCCCTGCCATGGTAGGGATCCTGATGGTGAGGCACTTCCCTCTGATCCTTCCAGGATGCTTCTCCCCATCCTTGCAAGGCCACCATTGAGCAGGAACTCCACGTTTACCTCTGTCACCTGCCCGTGTGTCCCCAGGGGTGTTTATGTCCCTAAAGCACATGGTCCCTTGAGGGACCAGGACTTGAGGAACTGTGGGATGCTGCAGGGATACCAAGGCAGGGAGATGCCCTGCAGAGCCCCTGGAAGAGGAGATGTGGGGCTGGATCTGCTGTTGGTGGGGGACAAAATTTTGGGAGGGCCCATGGGCACGATCTGAGGCCCTTTTTGGGAGGCAGCATGGGGGCAGGAATGTTATGGAGGGGTCTCCAGGGGAAGGGGGATTTGAAGGTATCCGGGGGGATTGGAGGGATCCCAGAGGTTGGAGGGATTTAGGGGAGTTTGGAGGGATCCCGAGAGGGATTGGAGGGATCCGGGGAGGGAGTTTGGAGGGATCCCGGGGAGATTGGAGGGATCCCGAGAGGGGGGTTTGGAGGGATGCTCAGAGGGGGGATTGGAGGGATCCCGGGGCGGGTTTTGGAGGGATCCCGGGGTACCCGAGCCGGGGGGGCCGCACCGTTCCCTTGGCGGCAGCACCATCTGGCGGCAACAAACCGGCACCGCCCGCACCTCGTCCCCGCTCCCGCCCGGCCGCGGTTTCCCCAAAATTTGGGATTAAAACCCGGCCGGTTCGGGCGGTTTTGGACCTTTTCTCCACGGGGTGGGTGTTAAAAGTTTGCTTTCTTTCTTTAATTATTGTATTTTTAAATATTTTTTTTGTATTTTTATTATTTTTATCTCTTCTTAAAGTTTATTTATTTCGGTTTTAATTTTCCCTTTTGGCATGTGGAGCTCTGAAGGGGAACATCCCTTTATCCCATCTTCAGATGTATTGGCTGTTGAATACACTGGGTGGAACTCCTTTATGGTATATTTGTGGATCAGATCTGTTCCACACCCAGGTGGGACAGATCAGGATACTTGGCATGGGATAGAATGGAGTATCCCATGGATACAGACACCTGGCACATGAGGCTCTTGGGTGGGGTTGGTTATCCAGATCTGCAGAAAACTTGGTACCTTGGAGACTTTACTGGTGGGAACACCTGGAATCTTAAATGGGTATTTGGAATACCAGGTGATGAGTTTGGTACCAAGATCTTAGCAGGTTAAAGGCCTAGATTCATAATAAGTAGGTGCCTGATTTCTCCCTCAAACCCAAGAAATTTAGGACCTATATACTCAGGGAATCTGGGAAACAGTTCTTGTCACTTTTGCAGAGAGGAATTTGATTTCTGTGTCACTGAAATGCTTCTGGGTGACCACACCTGAACATTTGTTCCCTTTCCAAGCATATTTACAAGTGTAACTGCTGCCTGACGCTGTGCAGGAAAAGGCAGCACTAGGATGCTCCTGTGGGCTTTGCATTTCACATCTCTGCCAAAAAATCTTTGCCATGTGGAGTCATCCTGATGCAGGTGGGCTGGCTAAAGGACCCCCTCTGAGGAGCAGGAGATACCCCCAATGCCAGCAGCTCTGTGGTTGTGAGCTGATGTTATTCATAGAAACACTTATCAGATTGGCTCAAGAAGTGAGGAAAGGCATGTGGCTCTGTTGTTTTCTTAAGCAACTTCCCCTATCAGAATTCATCTTGCCCAGTAAGAAATTAAAATCAGATTATTAATATTAGTGGTTGGACTCGATGATCTTAGAG